TTGATTTTAGTTCATGTCTAATGTTGAGAAAGAGGACAGAATCAATTCTTATTTTAGCTTCAGAATGCATTTCAGAACAATTGTGACTTGCTATTGAATAAGAAACTTACTTGCATCTGCGCCACTACGACTGGACAACATAGCAGAAGAGACGTTAGCCAACTAAAGAAAATCCAACATTTGCATCGCGTAAGAGATTGGTCTGCATATCGCGAAGGTTTCATCATAGCCGAATATCTTCAAGAAAATAAATGAAACATATAATTTAGACGAATAGAAACTAAAATTACCTGTCAATACAGATCCAAGCAAAAGTATAGACGGTAGAACAAAATAAAGCTATCTGTAGATACGCACTACCTTTACACACGAGGGAATTATCACCCATAAATCGCCAACTGGGATCCAAGGTACTATATAAGCTGAGCGGTACAATGAATAACGCTGCCAGAAGATCAGCGACGGAGAGTGATATCTGAATTTTTAGCACTTACTTGTTTGCAGTACACTTATAAAGACAGGTTTCACTAACATTTACAAAGTTTCGTTTCCAGCAAAAAAAAAACCCATACACTTACAAAGGCATGGAAGGAAGAAAAAGGAACGTAGAAACGTAACTTCAGTTTGAATATAATATACTTTAAATGATTTTGAACATTTAGTCTAACTGCAAGCATGGCAGTGTTACAGCCGTAAACCTTCCAAAAACACTTGAAAATTACAGCCAGTGTGAAAAAGTTCTTATGCACAGACGTTGGTGGAAGCGTCACCGCCATGTCCGCAATCTGAACCTTGCATTATTTTAAGTTTCGACGTACTAAATAGCAGAGTCATAGAGCGCTTCATCAACACTACAGCCAATCTAATGATATCGTCTGTGATAGTATAGCTGCACAATTACGCTATGCACACAACAGATGTGTGTGTTTGCTTGTTTGTATCTTAAGCTTGGTTACTGCAGCATTTCAGTAGATAAAGAAATGTGGCCCTTCTCCCGCAAACTCTTCCATTTCCATGCAAAAATGAGATGAAAGAACGAGAACACCTCAAACTGCATTAAGCCCTTTTGCTTCATCAATGTAATCCTAATGATGCCTGCGACGTTATATAATCTCGTAGTTCCTTATTATAGAATACTTATCACCTTTGCATAAATAGTTGAAATCAGCATAAAAGGCTTAAAAAATACAATGTACGCTTCAATATTTCCAAAAACTGCCCTTATTAACGAGCACACTTTTTGGAAGAATTGCCGCTTTCTCTATGTGATAACAGATTTTGACAGTGGTTATCACAAATTGTTTACAAAAGAAGCCCAAGAATAACATATTGTAAAAGATGCTTGCTTGCTACTTCATCCGTGTATAATTTCGTTAGTCCACATAAAACGATAAAATAAAGAGTAGAGTTCTCCTCCTTCCAACTTCACACAGCCTTATAAAGCTTCAATCAATCATAAACGACTAAGAACTTTTTATGTTGTTATTCGCTATTCATTTAGAGAAGGCTTCTCCTTCTTGGTAATCCTCCAGAAAGAAGACTTTGGTCGTAAGCTCGCCGAACAAGAAGACAGAAACTAGAAACAGCTTGGAATAGTAGTTGGAAGCATGATATTTTCCTAACTAATACTATGAAAGGTTTACAACAAAATGAACACATCAGGTATTGAGATCGTTTGCTGTTATGATGGAAAACTGAAACAGTTGAGCCCAGAAGCCAAAAGAGGCGAGGTCGGACGCCAGTAAACACAAGTTCTATTTTGGAAAATTAGTAACTTTTGGTTCCCCTAAAATGA